TGCCCTCCCCCCAGCCTGATCACTCCTAACCACCTCTGCCTCAGACCCACCACCATGGCTTTGTCTGGAAGGATGTCCAGAAGGTCTCCCGGTCTAATTAGCATAGATGCTAAAGCTAAGCTTTCCACTCATTTATTTTCCTTTTAAATCTCCTCATAGAAGAAGAACATGCAGTCAAATGACCAGAAGATGAGCATCAGAAAACAGAAGAGAAAAAAAAAATTATGACTAATCTATCCCTATTAAAAAGAGAACAACACAAAAACTATATCTCTGGGATATTATCAATTTACAGTTAAACAGTAAATAAATTAAAGGTTGATGTAAATAAACATTAACAAACTGTAAGGCTTAAAACATATAATTTTTTCCTTACCTCTCATATGATTTATTTCATTTTTATCACACTAAAATGTGAACAGTATAAACACAGCATTTTAGGTTTGTTTTTATCTTCTTAATTTTTTTCTATTGAAACCCCTTCTCTAGAATCTTGCCTGCTATATAGCAGGCACCTAAAACATTTTTATAGCATTAACAGTTACGATAAAAAATAAGACTGACATGCAATCTAGCTTTAAACAACTCTGCGATTGTATCAGAATCACAATAGAAATCAGAGCAACACTCAAATTAAAATAATTTATGAAGGTTTTAATAAAGGGGCAATTTGCACAGAGGCACAGTCAGTTCTAGGCAACACAAGAAAATAAAAATCCTGATCTCACTGTTCTCCCTCCATTTGATCCTCTGCCAGGTCACCTCACTGGCCAAATTCAATCAGAAGGCGGAGGACAAGGGAGGGGCTGATGCCCACACAGAAGTCACCTCCCAAGTAGAGAGTGAAAATGAAAATCCAGCACACCAAACTTACTGTTCATTATGTAGTGAGAACTATTTTTGCAAGCATGCTAGTGTATCTGATCCTCAAGTTTAGTATATATTTCCCTAACTCCTCTATTTTTTATACTCCTCCCTTAACTACATGTTCATACTTTTCATTAACTCCAATACATAGTGTCAGCCATCACAAATCCTTTGTAGAACAATATGGGATATTAAAAATAATGATAAATCCACAGTGACATTTCCCTCCAATGAATTCAGAATAGTTAATTTCTATGATCCTCATTTGGCAATTTACTACATACTAACATTTTACATCTTCAGTATTATCTCATCCTGTACTTAACTTTTTATGACTTTATAGTTTTTATTACTCCCAATTCAATCTTAAGCTTTATGAAAGAAAATATTGCATTATATTATTACATAACTATAACACATCAACTTTCCTTCTTCATTTATTCAACTTATTTCATTAAAACCTACTACGCATTGGGCATTGTGATTGACAATGGGCATCTAAGATAAAAATGCATAATCTCTCTTCCCCCACAGAAGCACTGTTTTGAAGGGAACAAATAAGCAGATATTGCAACAGATTATTAGACAGATATAATTTAGGAAATTCAGGGCATTGTGGGAGGATATTGGAGGTATTTAATTAAGAAATTACATGGGAAAGAGATTAGGGAAGGATTCCTGGAGGAGATAACAGCTGAGCTGTTTTAAAGAAAGCCTCACAAGATATCAGGACAGGCAGAGGAAATAGTATTTGAAAGGGCACTGCGATATGATACATTCTGGAAATTTCAAGTAGCTAGTTACGTCTCAAATATAAAAAATGGGAAGTGGTAAGAAAGAAGACTAGAGAAGTAGAGAGAGTCTAGATCATGCAGCATCTTTATGAAATAATCAATAGACAAAAATGCCAATAAAAACCTGAAGCAATCTCAAATAAAAGAATCTACATTTTCAGTTATCAGGGTCTAGGAACTAATGTCAATTTAATGAGCAGTCATATGTATCTAGGTGCTTGCTCTCCAAAATCTAGTCTATGGCACCACATGGGAACTCAGAATCTTGGCCAGACCCCAAGCCTGCTGAATCAGAACCTGCATTTTTAACAAGACCCTCAGATGATTCATAAGCACATTAACATTTGGAAAGTGTATAACGGAAATAGTCTCTGTTCTGAGATTGTTGGAGAACGAACCAGGGAAGGAAGAACATGTCCTGTAGAGGAAGCATTCAGTGCCATTAAGGTGAAGGACGTTAAAAATGGAAACAAGGAAAAGATTTTAAGTAGGAAAGTGAAATGGTAAGACTTTTCCTTGTCACATAAAATAGAACATAATGTGCCCTAGCTGGTTTGGCTCTGTGGATAGAATGTCAGCCTGCGGACTGAAGGGTCCCAGGTTTGATTCTAGTCAAGGGCACATGCCCAGGTTTCGGGCTTGATCCCCAGCAGGGGCATGCAAAAGGCAGCCGATCAATGATTCTCTTTCATCTTTGATGTTTCTATTGCTCTCTCCCTCCCTTGCTCTCTGAAATCAATAAAAATATATTTTTAAAAATAAAATAGGACATAATGTAACCTATTTCATTTTACCTGAAGTCTTTTGGTCTTAATTTCAATGCAATGAATGTCTAATTGTGGATCTAATGTATATCAAACTGACTGATTTGGAATGCCATCCTTTTCAAAGACTCCATGGGAATTCAAAATTAAAAGATGAATTCACGTGAGATTACATAACAATTCATAGGAAATAAAAGCCAGAGAATCCTGTGAGGAGAAAATTCTGAGAGTTTTATCAACACACAACATACAAAAAACTTCTGACTTGTTAGGTCTCTTTCCAAGTATGTCTCCCCTTTAGAAAAAAAAATCACTTCTTTCAGTCATAAAAAAGTAGAAGCTAATGAAAATACTAATCTTTAATATTTATCTTTGATTCTTTGCAATTTCTAATTTGCCCAACACTAGAAAGTTATGTTCATGATAGGTGACAAGAACATACCTGAAACTTAAAGGGGATCTGGTACTATATCATCAATATGATGTCTCTTAAAAAATATTTTTTCTCAATAAAATTATAAAATGGTTAACTTTAAAAATAGCCAACTTTCATAATCTCAGGAAAAGCACACATAATATGTATAAATGCCTGTTAAAAATTTGCTGAGATGTGTGTCTGAACTAAGTGTTTGTATATATATAGACATAGATATTAAAATTGTTTTTATTTCATTTTAAGAGGACATGCACTTTGAATATGCAAATCTATTAAATCTTTACAGATGATTCTTTCCAAGTGAGAGCATATGTATTCTGGATAATGCCAAACATCAGAGAAAGCTGGAACAAAGCAGCCTGTTTTCAGTGATCAAACATCGCCCCTGAAGGCTGCAATGAAAGAGCCCTGTGCTTTTGAAATCACCTTCTCTAATGCTACTTTGCTCAACAGAAATGACACATTAATATCCTTTTATGAGCTCATCCCTTATTTGACAATTCATATAAGCAATACTGTAATCACATAAGAAGAGCCAAAACAATTGGTTCAATAGATTTTCTTCTATTTTCTCT